GTCAGGGTTGATCTCCTCTAGGACTGACCGGTTTGATCGCCTTGTGGTCCAAGGGACTCGCAGGAGTCTCCTCCAGCACCACAATTCAAAGGCCTCAATCCTTTGGCGCTCAGCCTTCCTTATGGTCCAGCTTTCACAGCCATACATTGCAACTGGGAAAACCATCGCCTTGACTATACGCACTTTTGTTGGCAGGGTGATGTCTCTGCTTTTTAGTCGGCTGCCTAGATTTGCCATAGCTTTCCTCCCCAGGAGCAAGCGTCTTTTAATTTCTTGGCTGCAGTCCCTGTCTGCGGTGATCTTGGAGCCCGGGAAGATAAAATCTGTCACTACCTCCATTTCTTCCCCATCTATTTGCCAGGAAGTGAGAGGACCAGATGCCATGATCTTACTTTTCTTGTTGAGTTTCAAGCCAACTCTCTCACCCACATCAAGAGGCTCTTTAGTTCCTCTTCCCTTTCTGCCATGAGAGTGGTATCACCTGCATATCTGAGGTTGTTGATATTTCTCCCGGCAATCTTAATTCCAACTTGTAATCCATCTAGCCCAGCCTTTCTCATGATGTGCTCTGCATATAAGTTAAATAGGAAGAGCAGCAGTATACAGCCTTGCCGAACTCCTTTCTCAATTTTGAACCAATCAGTGGTTCCGTGCCCAGTTCTCACTGTTGCTTCTTGACCCGCATATAGGTTTCTCAAGAGACAAATAAGATGGTCTGGTACTCCCATCTCTTTAAGAACTTGCCACAATTTGTTGCCATCCACACAATCAAAGGCTTTAGCATAGTCAATGAAGCAGATGTTTTTCTGGAACTCCCTAGCTTTCTCCATGATCCAGCGTATGTTGGCAATTTACTTTCTAGTTCCTCTCCCTCTTCAAAATCCTGCATATAGTTCTCGGTCCACATCCTGCTGGAGCCTAGCTTGTAGGATTTTGAGCATCACTTTGCTAGCAGGTGAAATGAGTGCAATGGTGCGGTAGTTTGAACATTCTTTGGCATTGCCCTTCTTTGGGATCGGAATGTAAACTGACCTTTTCCAATCCTGTGGCCGCTGTTGAGTTTCCAAGTTTGCTGGCATATTGAGTGTACCATTTAACTGCGTCGTCTTTTAGGATTTTGAACTCCAAAAGTGGTAGTTTGGAATGAAAGAGGGAAACAGAGATGAGCATCACAAAAGAGGAACTAATAGTGGTATGTGAGTGATAAAGCCCATGAATCAAGGCCGGCCAGGCAAAAGTGTAGAGCCTGCAGGCAGAAACATGGAACACAGAAACGAGGCGAGTCAGGAGGGGCCTCCCGGGCCATCCAGTCTGACCCCCGGCTCCAGCCGGCTCCGCCTATGCAATCTGCAACACGTGGGTGTCCAATCTTTCCTTGAATCCCCCGCTCCCAATGGGGCCTTCCCCACGCCCCGTGGAAGCCCATTCCACATCCTAGGGGTCCTGACATCCAGCCTGAAGACTGGGTCCTTGAGCTTTGCTCCACTGGACCACATCCCACCCTCCACCACAGGGGAGAACAGGTCACGGCCCTCGACTGCGTGACACCCCTTCACATGGCCTAAGTCGCTGAGCGAGCCCCTCGGAGTCTCTTCTCCAGGCTGAAGAGACCCGGTTCCCTCCATCTGTCGGCACTTGTCATCCTTCCCGACCCGGCCACCATCTGGCGCCCCTGCGCTGGGCCACGCCATGTCTCTCCTACAATGTGGAGCCCAGGACTGGACGCGGGACTCCAGCTGTGGGCACACCAGGGGCGTGCAGAGCGGTTTCAACACTCCCAATTTCCTTCCTGTGAACCCGTCAGCCTCCTTGGTGTGTCCAGGTGGATGTACCAGCAGCACTGCAGAGCTTTGGGAGGAATTGCAGATCCGTGGTGACAAAACGTTTTTCTTCGGTCCACGGAAGTTTTTCCTACATGTTGCACATGGGCGCCTTTAAAACAAAATCCAGGTTCTGCAGCTGCGGCCCAGATCCGAAAAGGCGAGTGGACGCAAAGCAGCCCTCAGGCCACTAACAGGAACAGAAAGTTTGGAGCATTGTGTGCAGACAACCAGGAGCCTTTGTGGCATCCAGTCCAGTACGCTGACGATACCCAGCTCTACCTCTCGTTTCCACCAATCCAGGCGAGGCTGTGGCTGTGCTGAACCGGTGCTTGGCTGAGGTAATGGAATAGATGAGGGCCAATAAACTGAAGCTCAATCCAGACAAGACAGAGGTCCTGTTGGTGGGTGGATCGGGCTTTGGAGAGGGTGGATTTAACCTAGTCCTGAATGGGGTTGAACTCCCTCTTAGGGACAAGGTCCGCAGCTTGGGAGTGCTCCTCAACCCGGAGCTGTCCCTGGAAGCTCAGGTGACAGCGGTGGCGAGGAGCGCTTTCTTTCAGCTTCGGCTGATCCATCAGCTGTGCCCCTACCTGAAGAACGACTGCCTGGCGACAGTGACACACACGTTGGTGACTTCCCGACTTGACTTCTGTAACACGCTGTACGTGGGGCTGCCCTTGAAGACGGTCCGGATACTTCAGTTGGTTCAAAATCGAGCTGCCAAGCTGCCAACAGGGACTGGGCATTATGTTCACATGACTCCAGCCCTCCGTCAGCTTCACTGGCTCCCCATTGAAGTCCGGGCCCAATTCAAGGTGTTGGTGATGACCTATAAACCCCTCAACGGTTTGGGTCCTGGTTACCTGAAGGAGCGCTTACGTCCGTATATGCCCGCCCGCCCCCTGAGATCGGCGGCAGAGGCCCTTCTCCGGGAACCCTCCGTGAAGGATATTAGGCAGGTAAGTACCCAGAGGAGGGCCTTCTCTGCGGTGGCACCCAACCTATGGAGTGCGCTCCCCAGAGAGGTCTGCCTGGCGCCGTCGTTATTTTTCGGCGCCAGGCGAAGACCTTTTTATTCAAATGTGATTTTGTTAATAGTATTTATTCATTTTATTCTTTGGCCAGGGCGACTTAATTTATACTGTTAATTTATATTAGTTTAAGGAACTTTACGGATGTGAGCCGCCCCGAGGCTTCGGCGAATGGGGCAGCATAGAAGTCTCCTAAATAAATAAATAAATAGTTTTTTCTGTGCACGGCCCAGTGCGTCGGTGCTTTGGAAAAGCACACGCAAGTCCCTCTCCATGTGACACACCAGCCATTAACCCAAAGACTTCGCTGTCACAGGATGCATGGATGGATGGCCCGACTTCAGTGGTTTTCAACCTCTCCACAGCCGGGAACTGGTGGAAACATGAAAGCCACCTAAAACTCATGCCGAGGCAGAAACAAAAAGCGCCATACGCATAATACAGTATTCTGCGTATTAGTTTCCAAACACAATCACACCCCCATGAAAATCCTCCTAAACCAGAAACCAGGCCTCGCCCCCAAAAACAGCAGCAGCAAAATTGGTGCACCGCAGCTTCCACCCCCCCCCCCCCCTTTCCCTCACAGCCCCTGAGGAAGAGGTGGCGGAGCACGGCCGGCCCCAGCGCCGGTCCACAGTGAGCAGGATGCAGCCCCTCACGGACCGGCAGAAAGCCTCCCGTGGCTGGGGAGCCTGGCTTAGGTGGCTTCCGGACAGGCAGTCCAGGGGGAGGGAGAGGCGATCAGTGGCTACTAGCCGGAAGGGCTGCTGGGAATGCCCCCCGCGAGCCGAGCGCAGGGAATCGGCCGGGAGGGTGCCGCTGCCGCCTGTGTGTGCGCCTGGCTTGCCCCCGCAGGAACGGGACCCTGAACAAGGTCTGGTGTCCGACCCAG